ATCAGTCACAAAGAACTCTGAAACAGTCAGGAGGCAGCAAAAACATGTGTAACTCCAAATTTACAAGTAGGTTTTCATTCTCCTTCAATCACTGTGTGGATACAAAACCTGACCAGAGCTTCTCAGTGCCCTTCTCTAAGGAAGTCCTGAAGATTAAGAATGCAGTTCTCAAAATGAAAATATAAAATCCAAGAATTTCATATTAAGGGGAAACTGTGCATCAAACATCTTCGGGAGTCAGGTTGTTACACCGATTATGTGTTTTACAACAATCTATGAAGGCACAGTATTTATTTACTCTACTTTTACAGAGGAGGAAATTCGGACTTAAGAAGGCACAATAGAGGGGCTGGAGAGATGGCTCAGTGGTCAAGAGCACTGGCTGTTCTTCCAGAGGACCTGAGTACAATTCCCAGCAACCACATGGTGGCTCCCAACCATCTGTAATGAGTTCTGGCACCCTCTTCTGGCCTGAAGGCAGAACACTGTATGCATAATAAATAAATCTTAAAAAAGAAGAAAGAAGAAGAAGAAGAAGAAGAAGAAGAAGAAGAAGAAGAAGAAGAAGAAGAAGAAGAAGAAAAAGAAGGCGGCACAATAGAGCCCAGTGTGGTGGTGCACACCTTTAATCCCAGCACTTGGGAGGCAGAGGCAGGCGGATCTCTAAGTTTGAGGCCAGCCTGGTCTACAGAGGGAGTTCCAGGACAGCCAGGGCTACAGAGATCCTAACCTCCCCCTCAAAAAAAAAATCTAAAGCAAGAGAGAGAGAGAGAGAGAGAGAGAATGAACAAGCAAACACAGTAACTGCCCAAGAGCAAGCAGTGGGTAGAGCAAGGCCCCCACCCTACTCAGGGAACCCCAAGCCACCGCCACACTAGTACTTTCTGTTAATGAAGAGGTCCGGGCAGAATACAGGGACCTGACATTTAACAGCATTTCCAGGGCATGTGTCTTCTCCTTCAGACAGCTTCAACTCTTTACTACTGAAACTTCCTCAAATTATTAGTCCACTTTCCAACCCTAACTCTTGATTTATATCCCTCCACGTTTCAGGCCTCTCTATCAGTTCCCAAACACAAAGTCATGGGACTTTAAGGTCGGCACCCATTTTACACAGGAAGCAGCATTTATATAAAGTGACATTTCTAAAACTGTTCACGGACAGGGTGATTCCAGACCCACAAGCCCTCCTGGCTGGAAGGAATCTTCCCACCTCCTGTCACTGCTTCCAGGTCCTTGTGATGGAGACCGACCCTTGTAAGTGTAAAACTAGTCAAGCTCTTCAATAGTGGGCAGAGCAAGACAGAAGCTCCACAGGCAGCCCGGAGCTCACCCTAGAGCATGCAACCCTGGCTCCGATTCTTCTACTGCTTCAACCTAGACGACAGTCCCTTCGTTTCCCTCATCTGTGAAAGGATTCAGAGTTCAGACCTGTCAGGGGACTTCAAAAGCCAGTCTTAAGCTACTTCTTCCCTAAAACGCTACTTCTTCGGTTGTCTGCGTGAGGAGGAAGGGGACTTAGGGGGAAAAGTCAATCAACAAACTGACCAAAAAGGCGCAAAGATTTCCTAAGCCTTCCCACTTCTCTCTGTTACACACACACACACACACACACACACACACACACACATTTATGCACACCAATACTTGGAACTTCAGACGGTTCTCTCTTATCTTCACTTTCACTGACAAGAAGATCAGTTCTGAAACAAAGACACATTCAAAGTCCCTCCTCCCACAGAAAAGCCAACAAACACACTGACCTTTTATGCAAATACTCAAGAGCGTACACATGGATACGTGTGCATGTGAATTCAGATTTGAATTCTGACTTCCGGAGGTATGAGGATTCTACTGAATGATGTGGAATTCATGGGAAAGTTTCACCAACCCTCAAAAGTGGGGCATTATGGTCACCACTGGACTCCTGACAGCTCTTCCCCACCCATCTTTTTCCCCCTCCTTCACATGTTTCAAAACACCAAGAGTTCTCCCCCTCCTGTCTTCTCCCTGTCCCAAGAGTTTGTCACATGATCTATAGACCAATGGCTGCTGTGTCGAGGGCTGGTCCAAGGCTCATCTCTAACAAGAGTACTGTTCGATCTGCCCAGAGTACTATCCTGGCTATTCACCCCAGTTTCATAGTAATTAGCATCATGGGGGGGGGTAAGGAGGGAAAAAGAAAGGAAGGGTAAAAGGAGTCACAACCAGAAAGCAATCTCATGACAACTCAGAGCAAGGCAAAGCAGATGTTAATAGACGGTAGAAGATGCTGAAATACATTATATATAGGTTGGTCATTTGGGACATTATTCTTAGTTTCATTTTGGTACCTGCTGTGGACTCTAAAAGCCCACATCAGCAACTTGTAAGGAACACAAGCCCCGTGACGGGAAGACACCTGATCTCTCCTGGGTCTCACACAGTCGCTCCTTTCCTTTGGCACAGCTAGTCCTCGAATCCCCCTCTCCACACATCCCTTTAATCAGACCTCCAGAATTACATTAGAAATCAAGTGACTTGGGAAGCAGGGCCCAGAGAGAGAAACATCAGAGGCCAAGTACTTTGTATCGTAAAGAATCTTGTAACCGCCCAGACTCCATTATTTCAATTTAAGGGCTACTGAACACCACTACCTCAAGGTCACTCCGGAATTCTTCGTAGAGATAAAGATTCAGGCGCCTAAGGCAAGACTTTCTGCTCCTCTGCCTGACAACATAAAATCTCCTCCTGCTACCTCAGCAGCCAGGGGCACTCTTGGGTTCTAAGTGTACCAAGTCAACACAACAGTAAAAAGTTCACATTTTATTACTTCCTAAAATAATTGCTTTCATAATTTCCTAAATTTTCTAAGCACTGTTAATTGGCACACACCAAATGAACACACTAGTGAGTTACAGTTTTTCATTTCCTGGCCTTCCCCACCCCCACGGAATTACATTATTTGACTACAGCTGAGTCTTGGGGCTTCCTTTCAACTTGGATTCAACTATTCACATGTCATAAAACTTTTCTGGTTAGCTTAACGTTAAAATGTCTATCTAACTTCATCATGTGAGGTTTTAATAACTCCAAGAGCTTTGCTAATGACTTAAGAGTCAAATTTTTGGTATTTCACAGAAATAACTGTCGCTACGAAAAGTACAGTTTGTGTGGTATTAACCTAACATTCTTAAGACTTGCTCACCACATAGCCAATAACTGTATTATACAAATGGCTAGGTAAACTCGGGGTTCCACAAACTTCAGAGTACCCCAGAGGATGAAGACTGTCTAAGGCGCCAAGCCGGAGTCACAATCTCAATCCAAGTCGCCTTCCTTGATCCTCCTGCATATGTAAGTTCCACAAAGAACTTTCTCTGGACTGCTGAGATGTTTAAAGGAGCTTATGAATATTAGATTAATTTTAAAAGTTATGATCCTTTATAGAAATCTAGAGGTATTAGCATGGTAGGGCTAAGGCAGAGAGAACACACAATTATCTGCCTCCCCAAAAGAATGAAAAGGTGTAAGTCTCTCTCTTGTTTCTCATTAGCAAGAAAAATATTTCAACAGATCCTGCCCTCCATTTGCTGGTAGGCTGGCAACAACCTATTTAAGTCAGAGATGTAACTAACACACCTAAAGGTCATGTGCCACAATTCCATTTAGGAAATAGTGAGACTCCTACACGGGACTGAGAAGACCCAAAGCTTTCCGTTCCGATCAACTTAATAAATAAAGACTAATTCTATGAATTAAAAGGATCATTTCACTTGGGGCACTCTAATGATCTATTACCATGATGATACCATGAACAAAACTGCTGTTCAAGCTATGTGGAGGACAGATATTTCACTATTAATCAAAAGTTACGAGTATGATAAAGGAAAGATTCAGATCTGAACTCAGGGAAGAACTGTTTAACCCTCCTTCGACATAATTCAGCGTTATCTTATTTTAAACAGTGGAGCACAAAGCTGTGAGCATGGTGTTGTGCTCAGATGTCACCTCCAACTTCAGGCCAGAGAGGGAGGAATTCTGTATTCTAAAAGAAACCCTGAAGACCTCAACAGCAGCCAGTCAAGCTGAGGGCAGAGAGCCAGCATCCCTTGGAAAGTGCAAACACCTCCAGATCAGAAACAATGTTAAGCAAGATCTCCAAAGTCAATTACCTTCAGCCCTGGGGCTAGACCAACCATCTAACCGTACCCCACCAACAACTTTCCCAGACCTCTCTCTCTCAGGACATACTTCCAAAGTTCCTTTGCTCAGCTCAATAAAAATGGCGCTGCTTTCTCCATCCCAATACTGTTTATTTCTCAGTAATCCTGAGGCCCTTTAAACAATCAAATTCTACTGGCCTCATTTAAATGCCAGCCCTCCCTAGTGTCAAACGCTTTCCCTGGGGGTAGGGTGAGGGGACAGGATAGCTGCTCCTATCCACAGCTGCAACTTTTTCACCAGAAACCTTGGCAACGTGAACTCACTTTTGACTTCTCTTCATAACCTGCCTTCCCCCCCCCCCCCGCCCCAAACTGTTGCCTCTCAGTCTCTCGAGTCACACACTTCAATGCAAACTGTCCCCAAGTGCAGGACCTCTTAAGCTCCATCCATCCACGCCGTGGTCCTGGGCACTCGACACCCAGACCATCCTCAGCCTCCAGGCGCCCGATACCCCGCAGCCGTCCCCGGGTCCACCGGCCCTAAGGACTCCGGGGTCCGGTGCCCGGTGGCCGGGCAGCGACAGCATGCACACGCGCACGTCTGTCTAGCCCTCCCCGGCGGGCTGTCGCCGAGCCTCCGCCCGCGCCCACCCCCGCCCGGGGCGGCGATGGGGGGCTGGGTGGGCACCGAGGCATCAGCCAGAGAGACAGGCGAAGGGACAAGGCCAGCTGCGCGCCCCCGCCCCGCCGGGAGCCGGGCACAGCGGGCCCGGCCCCAGCCCCCACCCTGCTCCCGCCCGGGTGGCACCACGGCCGGCAGGGGCGGCCAGGGCACGACGCCCCGGACGCCGGTACCTGATCGATGGGCAGCTGCACGACGTTGCTGAGAGGCTGCAGCAGGGTGGAGCCCGTGGTGCTGGTGGTGGCCATGGCCGGGCCTCGGCGCTGCGCTCGCCCGTCCACTCGTCCGCCCGTGCGCCCGCGCGCCCGCGCGCCCGTCCGCCCGTCCGCCCGCCCGCTCGCCCGCTCGCTCGCTCCGGCCAGTCGCCGCTCGCCCTGTGCCGCCGAGCTACGCCGAGGATGGGGATGCAGCGGCGCGCCCGCCCCTCGGCCGCCCGCGGTCTGAGCCGCCGCGCGGGGAGGGGCCGTGGGCGGAGCCTCGCGCCGGCCCCGCCCACTGCGTGGCGCCCCGCCCACCCACCCGCGCAGCCCGCCCGCCGGCTCACGCCGCCGCCGGGCCGCCGCGTTTCCAGCAGCTTCCAGCGGGGGAGGCCCCTCCCCACCCCGCGCGCTCCGCGCGCCCGACAGCCCCGCGGCCCAATGGCGGCGCGGCGCCCCGACGCCCGCAGCCAATCAGAGGACGCCTGCCTCGGCCGCGCCCCTCCTCCGTGCTGGGGTCGGAGCGGAGGGGGGGGGGTGGGGAGGGGGGCGGGAGGGGGGTACTCGAGGCCAGGGGCCGAGGCTCGAGCGCGACGGTCGCCCGAGGGCGAGCGCGAGCCGTGCTCGCCGGTGGGAGGGGGGCGTGCGAGGGCGGCTCTGCCTCCGCCTCCCGCTCGCTTCCTTCCCCGGGAATGGTGGGCGCCGTCCCCACCCCTCCCCTCCCCTCCTTCCCTGGCCGAGACGGGCGGACAACAAAGGGGCTCGGGGTGGCGGCCAGACAAAGAAGGGGGAGGACTTGGAGGGATGCAGGCTCTGGAGGAGGAAGTTGGGAACAAAAAAAAAAAAAAAAAAAAGCTAGGGGGCTGGGAGCTGCACGGCGACGCACCACGGGGACACCCATCCCCCTACCCCTACCCCCCCCCAAAAAAAAGTGCCTTTGTCTCCCGTGCTGCCCAAAGTTGCGGACATCCGGGCGGGCCTGCCTCCTCCCTCCCGCGCCCACCTGGGCCCGACGACGCCCGCTCGCACCGCGCCTCCAGCTGAGTGAGTGGGGAACGGGTCGGACCCGGGCAGCCGGGCAGCCACCGAGGGAAAGCCACCCCCGGGGAGCCAGCAGTCCAGGCCCCGCCTCCTCAGAGGAAAGGCTGCTTGCTGGTAAGCATCCCTTCGCGTGCCCGGTGAGCATCCCTGCCCAGATGTGCATCCTGCTGCGCCCGCACCTTCCGTGCCGGGAGGGCTGCCCCTGCAAACGGAATGCTTGCTTCCCCCTCCCACTGAACGACAACCGGCCGTGTGGACACCCCTGGGAAAATGCTCCCACGTCGTCCTCTCCGACCATCCAAGGATGTGGAATTGGGGGTCGGGGGGAGGGGGGCTGGAATCGCTGATATTTAACGGGGGTTTTAAACGTGCTGTAAACACTGCTTTTTAAAGGTGGACGCGTTTGAGCCTCCACAGCAGCCGCGTGAGGTGGGTAGTGTTAACCGTCTTCAATCTAACGAGGAAATTTAATTTCGGAAAAATTACATAACTTAACCAAGAGCGGGGGGACAGGGGGGAGGAGTGGGAGGGGGGAGTCCAAATATTTTAGCCCTAGTTCTGACCTCTTAAACCTAAGGCCTTTCACCCTCGGGCTTAGCATCCACTCCAGAACAGCCATCAACTACAGGTATACCTCTTCCTCAAGGACCACTCCAGAGTCTTCAGCAGTAAGAGCACAAACAGTGCTTCAGGGAACCTGGCTGTGGACTCAGCTGTCTGAAAAAGGGCTGATTGAATTGGTCAGGACAGTCCCTTCCTGCCTGACGCTCTCTGGGTGGGCAACCGAGTCCTAGGAAGGTCGTTTTTTTTTTTTAATCTCTGATAAGAGGATGGAAAGAAAAAATTTAAATGAGATCTTTCCTACTCAATGTACTGTTGCAATTAGTACTTGGGAACAATTAGAAGGCAAACCTGTTCCATAATGCTAAAATAGCCCCCAAATCTGGACCTGTCTATTCATATAACCTTGGAGGAAGGACCACTTTTATTTTTCTCTTTGCTCCACTTTGGGGAAGTGTAGAGGAAGTGTACAGGTGGCCTAACACACAAACTGAAGGGAAAAAAATTAAAATACCATGTTAAAAGCTTGAAAAGTGGGTGTTAGAAACATATTGCAACCTAAAGTAGGCAGCATAAAGATACGATCCCAGAACAAATACTGTCTACCAAAGCAATTATGTCAGGCTGCATTATCTTTTTAGAACAAGACAGAACATAGTTTCTGTCGGGGTGGGGGGGGTGACTCCTTTATAAAAGAGGTCTGACTGGGGGTTCCATCCTCAGCCTCTTGCCCCAAGGGAAGCAGACAAAAGTAATGATGCAAAGTCAGGGAAGGATTGTAATCGAAACGGCCACTTTGGAATGATGGAAGTAAGTCCATCTTTGGGGTCGTGGTGTACACTTGAAGTAGAGGTAAAATTAGGGCAAGGGGCAAGAAGTATGCATAATTAAGCATACCTGTGGTCTCCTAGACGGATATCTCAGTTCTGGTTCCACAGAAATGGCCCTAGATAAGACCTCGTTGCTTGTGGGACAATCAGGTTTGCTTTAGGGTGAGGTCATGGGATACACGGTCTTCTAGGCTCTGTGTTCCTTGAGTCAATGGTGCCTGTAGGATTGGGACATGACTGGAGACATGTGGGCACTTTTTGGGACAAGATATTGTAAAAGCAGCCAGGTAGCAGTGGTATGCGCCTTTAATCCCAGCACTTGGGAGGCAGAGCCAGGCGAATCTCTGTGAGTTCGAAGCCAGCCTGGTCTACAGAGTGAGATCCAGGACAGGCACCAAAACTACACAGAGAAACCCTGTCTCGGAAAAAAAAAAAAAAAAAACAAGATATTGTAAAAGCTGACAGTTTGTTGTGCCTTCAGAATGGGAATGAAATAAGTATTACCAGTGTTAGGTAGTCTTTGAATGATCAACAAGCCAGCTGCACCCATGTTCACAGAATTGATGAGATGGATGCCCCAGCTTAAGCAGATTTTCCTTCCTCTACCTTTTAGTTTGTTTCCAGGCCAGTCATGGTGCCCACTCACACTGAAGAAGGCAATTTTCTTTACACAGTCTACACCAATCTCTTCTATAAACATCCTTATAGACATATCCAGAAATACTGTTTTATTACCTATCCAGTCCTCCATTAACCCAGTCAAGTTGATGTATTAAATTAACCATTCAAGAAATGTAATGTAATTCTAGAAGTGAAAGGGTTTTCTATTAGGAAAAGTATTACATCTGGATTTAACTGATTTTCAGTATGTAGATATATTAAGACATCATGTGGTATACTATAAATGTAGACACTGTCAACTGCACCTTAAGTTTTCAAATACTCCATCTTTATATTTCTAATAAAGGAAACTGAGATCCATCCACATTTTGAGCTAACAACTCAGTGATCAGAATATAAATTGGCCTCCTGACCAATATCTGCTAATTAGACTAGGAGCCTTTAAAGGAGAGACAACTCAACTAATTATATGTGTAATTTCTCACTGTCCCACCTAAGATAACCAACCTATGACAGCAATCCCCATGCCTCTATCTCTTAAAAGAAATTATTGAATACTTACTGTGTTCAAGGAACTGAACTGCTGTAAAAATAAATAAATAAATGGTACTTATAATCAAAAGACAAAATCCTCGTGTACATGGGACAGTAAAGTAGTACAAAGGGCCAGGTCAGGTCAGTCTGTAATGTAAAAAAGACAGTACTCTTCCCGGAGAATTCTCAAGCTTGGGTGGTAGTCAGAAGACCAGAGTTTGATTTCTGAGTATTGCACCCATTGGCTCTCTCCACTTCCTCTGCCCTCAGTTTCCCCTGTGAAGTGTGGATAATGGTAACTGTCCTGCAAGACTGAAGAGTGACTGTGAGCTTGAAATTAATAACAGACTGGATTTTAAAGATATTAGTAATATTTCTATTATTATACTACTAATAATAATAAGTGGTAAGGAATTTTTAACATAGAAATCGTGTCATTAACATCATTACTCATTAGCATCATAACATCATTAACATTGCTAACCGAAGCCTCAGAGTACTGAGCAGTGTTTCTGGGTGACAAGTGACAAGATAGTGTTCTTGTCTGGCTCCCTTGCCCTTGCCTCTGAAAATGGCTATGATAATTAAAGATTGCCACAATAAAATGTTCCCTTCTCAACTTATTTTTAACTTTGAATAAACCATTCAGAAGAAATGAATAATCTGCCAAGCTGCTTTTGTTGTGTTAAAAAAAAAATGGTATGTGTCATGAAATGAGAGTTCTTGGGCAATTATTATTGCCTATTTTATACCCTTTATATCCTGGAATGACTTCCGAGATGAAGGCCATTGAACTACATATGTAATGAGGTCTGCTAACTGGCTGGCACCCTTTAGCACTCCCGAGGTAAGCTTAACCTGGGGAGGAGAACCTCTAAGACCTAATATGCTCCAATTAGGAAATAACAAGGGAGACCGAGCAAGAGGTGTCGGGTGCAGTAAAGGTCCTGGCTCTCCAGAATCTGCCACTTAGGAGGTCGCTAACAATGACCAGAACACTCCCCCGAGTTTGATCGCCTCCGTCCTGAACAGCCTAGATATCTGAGTTCCGGGTCCTCTCCTCTATAATTGTCTGATTCCCATGAACTTCTGGGGCTTTCTCTGTCTCCATGAATCTGATATTCAACCTAGATTTGATGTTACGTTGAATTAATTATATTGGTTCATATTTACCCTGTGTTTGGCTGAAGGATACAAACAAACCTTTTTATTGTCGAGGAAATAGCAGAGCTTTGCGGTTGGTCTATAGGTTTCAGAGCAACTTCTGACTTACTGATTTTCCAGTCAACCTTTATTTTCTGTGTTCTTCAGTGACCTGTAAAAATATTTACTTGAAATCTGTGTATGTTAGGGAAGTCATCTGTTTCCCTTTTATTTGGCTGGATTTTTTTTATTATTATTATTTTTTTATGTGTATGGGAGTTTTACCTGCATTATGTCTGTTCACTGGTTGTGTACCTGGTGCCCATGGAGGCCAAAAGAGGGCTTGAATCCCTCCGAACTGGAATTACAGACAGTTGTGAGCCACCATATGAGCTCTGGGACTTGAACCCGGGTCCTGGAAGAGGAACTAGTGCCCTTAGCACAGAGCCCTCTCTCCAACCCCTGGGCGGTTCACTTTTATGTGAACGAGTTAAATCTGTTTTAAAAACAATACCCCTGTCTGCTCATAGTGACTCACACCTGTAATCCCAGCACTTGACAGGCTTCAGCAGGAGGATTGCTGTGAGTTAGGCCAGCCCGAGCTACACAGTTCCAGGCCAACGAGTGCTATGGTGTGAGACCCTGTCTCAAAAAAGGTAAAATCAGTCAAACCCTGATAGTGTGTGTATTGCTGTACATATGCAGTCTGTAATCCCTGACCCTTAGGTATTGAAACATTTCTGCTTCCACGGGTTCTCATACTATTTGCATTCAAATTATGAAGCATCCCAACTTTAAATCATTGAAATCACCTCAGGTTGATGATGATGGTGATACATCATGATCACAGTCCATTACCACCTACAGCATTTATTACAGTAACCAGGGTAAGAGTGCCTCACTCTTCTCAGTTCTGCCTAATGTTTCTGGTTTTTTTTCTTTTGTTTTGGATTTTAAGAAGTCCCCCTCCTGAAATCTATTGACATATCACTGCTGTGCTAAACAGTATGGTCTGTTCACTAAGAGAAGGGTCCACTAACTAACCCTCTGTCTCGTTGCTAGTTCTGTCGTGTCTGTAACAGCCCCATAAGCCTGTTACTCTGAGCAGATGTGCCTGTCTGTAGGGGAACCTGTTCAGCAGCACATCTTCCATAGGTATCTCCAGCCCTTCTGTGGCTGCCATTGGTTTGGATCCATAACTCACAACACCAACACCGAAGTCCTAAGCAGTGAAGAATTAGGAACGAGAGCCATCTCTACTGATGAAGTCTATGATTACACGTCTAACCTAGTTCTCTTGCCAAGGACTTGCTCTCCAGGATAGGTGACTCTTCGGTACATGAGGTGCCTGCTGAGGAATGCCTTATAATCAGATAAGGCCAGGTTTCAATTTCATCAAATTATCTTTTAATTTATTTTCCATTT